TTGTTGTTGTTGTTGTTGTTGTTGTTGTTGTTGTTGTTGTTGTTGTTGTTGTTGTTGTTGTTGTTGTTGTTGTTGTTGTTGTTGTTGTTGTTGTTGTTGTTGTTGTTGTTGTTGTTGTTGTTGTTGTTGTTGTTGTTGTTGTTGTTGTTGTTGTTGTTGTTGTTGTTGTTGTTGTTGTTGTTGTTGTTGTTGTTGTTGTTGTTGTTGTTGTTGTTGTTGTTGTTGTTGTTGTTGTTGTTGTTGTTGTTGTTGTTGTTGTTGTTGTTGTTGTTGTTGTTGTTGTTGTTGTTGTTGTTGTTGTTGTTGTTGTTGTTGTTGTTGTTGTTGTTGTTGTTGTTGTTGTTGTTGTTGTTGTTGTTGTTGTTGTTGTTGTTGTTGTTGTTGTTGTTGTTGTTGTTGTTGTTGTTGTTGTTGTTGTTGTTGTTGTTGTTGTTGTTGTCATCTATAATTTATACACTTAACCTCCTTGTGGTTCGACCCCGGTCTTGCCGGGTTATTTATTACTTCGACACTCCTGCACTTGGGAGAAGACATCAATCTTTTAGCCGTGTCAAGATACTAGTGTAAATGTTTTATCAAAATCAATCCCTTGGACTTAGTGTATTCTTGTGCCATTAGTCTTGTTATGTTTTTTATGATTATTCCATGCTCATCTAATTTATTTTTAAAAATTCACTTGATTCCAATTATGTTATGACTATCAAGACGTGTAACCAATTCTCATAAATCATTTCTTGAAAACTGATTTACTAAATTTTTTCTTTTATCATTAACTCATTGTATAATTTATAAGTATACATTCTAGGTGTTTGTTTTTATTGTTTTTTTGTATGCAGGTTGCTGGCTACCACGTTGACCGGCACAAATTCTTACCGACTTGGTAGCAGAAAATTATTATCCAAGAATTAACAATATAATCTCTGATCATGGTGAGGTTTATCTAAAGTATACATTCCTAAATGGGAAAATTCAAATCAAATAGGAGTATGTGTGTGTGTGTCTTTTGATAAATTAAGTATCTACAGACAAAGGCCTTAATTGAGATCCAGTATGTCTATATTTTCCAAAACTTTTCCATAAAACCAAATTGATTATGGAAACCGGGAGTGAATTAAGGAACCCATACTTATCCTATATTATGCACTAATTATAATTGGAGGTAACATACGTCACAATTTCTTCGGTTGTGATTTATAATATGGTAAGTCGACTCCAAGAATCGGAAGGCCTTTTAATTATTTACCTTTTTATGATTTCTTAAAAATATTTTCTTGTAATAAAGGTTGAAATACATCGGTGAGAATTAAAATAGAGGAACAGCAATCAAAACATTTCCAAACATATTTCCCTAACTATGTCAACTTAATCAATATCATGAAACCGTATCGACTGAATGCAAAGAAACCAAAGCATATGCAGAATGTTAGTGATAAACAAGGTAATAGAACGTTTTTCAACCGTCAATATATATATATGCACACAATCGTCTCATAATTTACAAGAAGCAAAAAGTTCATTAACATTTTGAAAAAGAACAGGTGGAAAGATGGGTTTGATTTTGGCTTTTGTTAGGGTTTTGTTTCTTACGTTACTTTTGGTATGGTATACTGATGCTGGAGCTAGCAATGGCTACAAGGTTTTCAATGTGAAGAAATACGGTGCAGTCTCCGATGGCAAGACAGAGAATAACAAGGTAATAAATAAATCATTCATTAATTTGATATTTCTGGCCATTTCAGATGATCATGGTTCGTAGGCATAACTATCACTTGATATCTTACGGGACGATTTAGTTGGTTTATTTCTGTTTTCGTGGCTATTTCATCCTGGGGGACTTTGCAAGTGTTAAGTGGTAGCTATTAAAAAAAGAAGAAGAAGAAGCAACCTCCCTTCTTTGAATTAATGTTCTTGTACTGTTTCATTTCCAAGTTTAGTTGCTTTATTTAGTGCATGCTTGCTGATCACTGCCTTAATATATACTAGATTTTCTTGTCTTTTTATAAAAAATAAGCACGTGTTTATCCTTCAAATCAATCGGTTTGAGTTTAGGCGTTCTTGAAAGCATGGAGTGAGGCATGTCAATGGCATGGAAAGGCTATGGTTTTGATCCCAAGAGGAGTATACATTTTGGACTCGGTGCTATTTTTAGGTGAATGCAATGGTTACATGGCATTTAACTTGAAGGGGATTTTAAAGCCAAAAGGTAGTCTGCAGACTTCTGATCAGTGGATTACTTTCCGGTATATTAAAGGGTTCTTTCTCGGAGGCGGTGGTACCTTGGATGGGGAAGGATACAAGCATTGGAACCACCATGATTGTCTCAAAAACCATATCTGCCATCCTCTTGCCATTGTAAGTTCATAGTAATATCAATTCAATTAATGCTACAACGCTCTAGATTCCCATGTATAAGTTAATTTGGAACAAATTTATTTTCTTCCAATGGGGGATTTCATTGAATCCTTGAATTAGAGGTGAAGTATATACTCGTTTATTTAGTATCTTGAGTTGAATATGCAAATCATCTAATAATTTTTTATATTTTGGATCAGTCATTGAGACTCGAATTTATCCAAAATGGGAGGGTCAGCCATATAAGATCAATCAACAGCCAGAACGCCCATATGTCACTCTTTGGGTGCGTCAACTTAAACATGTCTAATCTTAGACTATCAGCTCCAGGTGATAGCCCTAACACTGATGGGATCAAAATTGGGAGTTCAGAAGAGATTAAGATTTCCAAAACAAGAATTGGCACCGGCGATGATTGTGTAGCTATACTCTCTGGAAGTAAGAACATTAATATTTCTCAAGTTCATTGTGGCCCTGGGCATGGAATTAGTGTTGGAAGTATGGGAGGGGAGGGTAGTGTGACAGAGAGTGTGGTGGGAGTAACTGTGAAGGATTGCACCTTCAACGGTACAAGTGATGGTACAAGAATCAAAACCTGGGCTTCCTCTACTACCGGTGTTGCTTCCAATTTCATATATGAGAACATTCGAATGATGAATGTTGGCAATCCTATCATTATCGATCAAGATTATTGCCCTTACCCTCCCTGTGATATGAAGGTATTATCTTGTTCATAACCAAGCTTATTTTACAAGCTCTTTCCACCATCATGCATGATTCTTGCCAAGATTTTCCTAAAATCCCTTGTATTATGTTGTTTCAGTATCCATTTTTGACGTAGGAGTTCTTTAATGAGTTGATATGCTCTTGTTTCATGGGAAGCAAGTACTTTGCCTAACCTTTCTATTCTTTTCCTTTCATGTTCATAGACGCCCTCACGCATTCAAATCAAAGACATTACTTTCAACAACATTTGGGGCACTTCTGAATCGAATGTTGCAGTTACTTTAAATTGTAGTCGAACAGTTCCATGCAAGAATATACTGCTAAAAGACATCAGTTTTTTCCATGGTCGTGGAGGTTCTGTAAGATCGTTATGCTCTAACGCCAGGGGTACTTCTTATGGCCGCCAAAGACCACCCTCTTGCTTCTAGTACCTGGATTCAGCTTCACTGCATATAGTTCTTCATTTTGCATGTTCAGATTTAGAACTTTGGTCTGCCTAAATAACGTACAGTATCTAGTTTACTTCAGTGATTGAGTGACTTTTGACGGTCACGGATGAAACTGGTTTTTATCCATATTTCTTTGTAATATCACTGAGGTTTAATGATTTTCATTAAAAAAATTAAGGTGGTTATTGAAGGGTTTTTTTTCCTTCTCTCGAAGCCTTGTCTTGATTTTGTGTAATGTAGACTTTCTGTACATATATCTTGTCTTTTTTTACTCCTCCTTTTATGCATGCATGATGTTGTGGATTTATAGCATTGCGCAATCAAATTAAGACACCTTCGGCATGAGAATATATAGACAGAATTTTGTGGTATGAATAAAATGAACTCGATCCCTTGCTTTATCTAACCACAGAAATTTCCAATAATTTATTTCACTCAACAAAAACCGCTGAAAAATCCACATATTATTCGACAACCTAAAAATAAGATTTAGTTTTTTGTTATTTAGTTTTATTGTTGTTGATTTTAAATTTTGAATTAATTTTAATGGTTTGTAATATCTGGGATAAATATAAGAACTTTTATGTTATGTAATACTTTTAATTTGAATTCCATACATATGCATTATTATTTAAATATTAATTTAAAATTTTTGCATAAAAATACTTTTTGATCATGTTATAAATTGTTAGCATTTTACAAGTTATGAATTGTTAATAACACTCCACTGAAAATTGTTCATATACTAATTTTGTCTACAAGAATTTTTGTTTAATTTAAACTTGATACTTACTAATCCATTTTTTTGTGTTTTGTCAAAAATCAAGCCAAAGAAGAAGATTGTAAATATCATTTTGTTGGTTTAGATTAATAAAGATTCTTTTATGATTAGTAAAAAGATACTTCGTTTAAGATAGAAGTTTATAAAGATCTTCTTTGTAATTATCTTATTAATTTAGTTAATATAATAGATAAATTAAGATAAAGAAGAAAAAGTTATCCAACGTAATATAAATTAATATTATCAGTGTTTTAGTAAAACACATTTGTTACCAACATAACAAACTATAAAGCTTAAAGATTATCTTTATTCTTATCACATAAGACATGTATATAAAGAAAGTTAAGTCTAAAGAAAATGATGCTTTAGAGAAGAGTTTCATAACGTGAAGATGCCAATTATATTGAAAAAAGCGTGCTAACTAGCTAAAAAGTTTACACAGAGATATATAACATATATTCTTAACACACGAGGAATATGTAGGAAATTCTCAATTATAATTGGTCCATAAAATGTTAAAGAACCTAAAGATTCGTATAAGGAATTTCTATGTGAATTGTTAGCAACTAGATGTTCCAGTTAGGAAGATAACAATTTGAAAATCGTTTAGTGTATTGACAAGTTACTATGTTATAGACATAAAAGGTTTGTGGTTAGTGATATTTCTCTTGTAATTTTTCAAACTATTAAAAAGTTATCTATCTTAGGTTTGGTTACCATAAAGGTTTTTTTTTTTATATATATCTTTTGAAGAGTTATTCAAAAGGTTTTCCCTTATAACCAAATATTTTATGCATTTGATTTTTCTGTGTTTTCTATGTATTTGGTTTCTAATTAGTGTATTATTAGATTATTTGGTAACAAATAATAAATAGAGAAAAAAAACTTAACCCATTTAAGATTGGGTCTTTCTATTAGATTTTGTAGAGTTTTATCAATTAATTAATAAATTTTTGCATATGAAAATCATGATATATAATTTTTAAAAAATATTTTTTTATTCTTGCATGCAAAACAACTTTCTAAAGTTTTATTGTTTATTTTTTTCATGAATTTTTATTATAATTATGGATATTTATATTAGATTTTAATTTTTGTTTCCTATTTAAAAGTCAAAATCATCCAAGAATTCAAAAAATAAGTCAATAAATTAAGGATTTAGATCAATTTGTGCCCAAGTCACATAACTTTTATATGCAAAAACCCTATAATTAATTAATGAAACCTTACAAAATCTAATCAAATGACTCAATTTTAAACAAAATAGAGATGTAAGAGGTCAATTCTAGCTTTTTTTAGTAGAAAGACTAGTTTATAAATGACTTAAAATTTTAAAAAGGTTTAACCCATTTAGCTTTAAAAGATTCAACAATGTCTAGAGTCAAGGATAATCTCTAAACTTTTTATGCAAATCATGTAACGTCTAATTAGTCTTATATTCCTAGAAAAAAAAAACAACAATGATAATGGCATTAAAGAAACCTAATAGCTAGGACACTTGTTTAAAGCAATAAGAGTATGATTATATAAGATATTAATACTTCACTAAAACTAAACTATATATTAGAGTGTAGAATGAAAAATCAATTTAAAATGTTGATTAAGAATAAAACAGAGAATAGTCAATGAGTTAAAATCCAAAAATAACATTAAAAAAAACAAGAATAACAAAAGAGAATGTAAGTAAGATGTAAGTTTAAACTAACATGCTATGAGACTAAAATAACCTTTTACAATACCAATTAATGAAGCTATAAGTGTGCAAGAACCACATCAATTCCTAGTTAAAGAAGACTTTGAGTAAGAAAGCAACAAATATCAATCACTTATCTACAACATTAATTGTTAAATATTTTTTTCTAGGCCTCAAGTTTAACGATATGTTATGCATAGTGAATGGAGCTACCATTTTTCATAGATGAATCTTAAAAGTGGTTATAATCAATCACTTAGATGCTCTAAAGTTGAGTAGAAAACAACAATTAGAACAATGAATTATCTATATAACTGGTTGGTCATGTCTTATATCTTATACAATACACCAAGCATTTTTACATGAATTATGAGAAACATCTTTTTACCTTTTTTTTACTAGTTTTTGTTGTTTATTTAATGACAGTATTGATTTATAGAAAATCCAAAGAGGAGCACCTTTTTCCACTTTTAGACAATATAAAGAAATTTCACTTTCATGAGCTCTTATGGTAAATTTTATGGTTTTATTATATCAACAAAGGGTATGGAGGAAGATCCAGATAAATTTAAGACTATTCTTGAATGGCTAACACCAATCACTTTATATATGGGAAAGAGTTTTGTTTTTTAAGGGCTAACTAAATTTTATAAAAGGTTTATTTAAAATGTAAGCACATATCATTAACATGAAGAAATGAACCTTGTTTTATATATGTAAAGGTCCTTTTTAAAACCTCTAAGAAAAAAATGATAAAGACTCTAATTATAAAGTTATTTGATTTCTGTCAAATACTTATAGTTTCCTGTGGATAATAGAATTGGTGATTGATAAGTTTCAAAATTAAAAATGCTTAGACATAGGGTTCTTTCGTAATTGAATTATGGGTTAATCAAATGTTCTTATAATTACTTACATTCTTCACAGTGAAGGTAAGTGATGGCTTGATGCAATGCTTTTGATACCTATAAAAAAAAAGTCTCATTGTGGTGAATTTAAGGACCTTTAAATGTTTAAACCAATATCTTTGTATAGGAAAAGTGCATTAAATTCTAAGAAAAAGATTATTTGTTCTTTTTTTGATATGAGCATTAAGGATATGTAAGAATATGATATATGTATGTTGAGAATGAAAGCTGAGAACCTTTTACTTTGATAGTTCAAGAGAAATATATAGCTGATGAACCTTACCTTTTTGCATAAGTGGTGGAGCTAGAAAGTTATTTTATCTTAATAACATTAATGAAAAATAAATATCCCTTATATATTTTTTAATAGAAAATAAATATCTCTGACATAAACATTAATAAGGGATAAATATCCTTTACATATGTATTAATAAGGTAAATGTCTCTAACGTGAATAATACTAAGAAACAAATATCTCCTACACATGAATTGATGAAAGGGCAAAGTAATTGGGTTTAAGTCATAAAATTAGGCCTAAAAAAAGCTAGGATGTGTGTTGCCTAAAAATGTTTAGCTATGCTTTTGAGCTCAAACATGAGTCTAGAGCCTACTAGGTGCAAACCTAACACCTAGGCTCGAGTATGTTACCAGAGCCCATGAGGTGCTGGGTGCACACCTAATATCTAGGCTCTAGTATCATGCCTGAGTCATAAGGGCGTTGAACATAGACCCAACAATTGAGTAGACGACTATGATTTAGGTCCAAATTATTTTTCAAGGTTCATTTTAGGCTTAGGCCTATTAAAGACGAAGACTCTGCAAAACTTGTTAATTGACTAAGAAAGAGCCAGGATTCTGGTCTTTATTTCTCATTCCACAGTAGCTGATTAGTACTTAAAAGTGTATTTTTATCAAGGTTTTATAACATCATTTTGTACTTAAAGTATCAATAACTCCTTAACTAAAGCATGTTTCGTAATAACATATCTAAAAATATAAGATACCTTTAATTTGTGTTAAATGTTCATTTTAAATATAGGTCTATCACATAAATAAAAGGATTGATTAATGAGTTTAACAACTGAAATTGAAAGGAAAAGGAGATGGCCAAACTTAGAAAAGAAATATTGGTGCAGTCCAAACCAAAACATTGTTCGGTAATTGAGTCATATCTGGAGCTGTAAATCTCGGATTTAGGTCTACTTTATATGGATAGAAAGGTAAAACATAGGCCTACAACTTTCATGCAGAGCTCAAGATTTAAAAAGGTCATTTTCAAGTTCAAATTATAGCAACAACGAAGAAGTCTGAATCTATCCTACAGCCTGAACATTGTTTAATGTTTAGCCCATATCTAGAGCTCTAGAAGTCCAAATGACCTCTTCTTCTTTTTTTTTCTTCTAGAAAGCTGAGATAATTCTTTTTTTTTTTTTTTCTAGAAAGCTGAGATAATTTCCTACAACTTTTATTTTTCAAGTGATTCTAATTCTAACGTTATCAATGATGTTTTGGGCAGACAAGAGAAGATAAGGATTGTCATGATGTTTTCAATATATTTTGATAGTTTAAAAAATATAACAAATCAAAAAAATATTTTGATAACAATAATAGCTATCAAATCTAGCCTGGAGGTTGACCCAGCCAAGGGGCTA